TGGTTTGTTAACATATGAATTAGGTTCTTCAAGGGATCGCGTATTCCGGGCATTATTTGAGGCAAGCAACTCTAGACCAATGAACTCTATGTATCTGGATAGTTGGTTTTCAATTTCTGTTTATGCAATATTTTTCTGCTTCCATGCATACCAGCAGGTAACGATTTTCAATTTCTTCTTCTTCTTCTTCTGCTTCAAATTTGTTATTTACATTCTAATTATTCTTCTGCTTAAGTTTGGTACAATCATAAATTGTGAATTTTATTACATTTCATCTTTGTTGTCCTCATCTATAGTCTTGATATTTTTCACTCTTTTTTGACAGTTTGGTGGTGGTTGTTATGATACTTCACTTGGGTTGAGCTAGTTATTCTCCAAGCTGTCATAAGTTTTTGGTGACTGTAAGTTAATTATGGTTCAACTGTGATATACTAATTAAGGGTCTTATTTATTTATGATATAATTATGATAGATATTTATTTAACTATAATTTAAATATGAAATTTTTTGAATCTACATGTATTAAAGTCCATCTTTCACACCTTCAAAGAAGACTATATTTTATTATTCTTTTGAACCAAATAAGAATTTTTTGAGATAGAAATCCTGTTTATCCCAATTTACATTAGATCTGATACACCACAAACCTAATTCTTTGGTTTTCTAGTTAGTTTCAAATTTGCTGGGCACTCTAGATTCTTGAAGATTACGTTTGGGTTTATTCTTGTGATATTTGTTGGTCATTTCAGGGTAGATAGTATTAGAGATAACTATAGGTTACTCTTGTTTTTCTGTATTAGTTAGATTGCTGAGCTGGCAAGTCGGTTAGATCTAACTTGCTGAGCTGTCATAGATCATAGATCTCAGCCTATATATAGTTCTGTTGCAACTGTTTTCAGATCAAAAAATAGAAACTCAATTTTGTTACAATTTCTTTGCTTTCTATTATCTTAACATTGTATGTAGAGCTCTTTTTTCTATCTAGCGCTTCCATGGCATCTCCTTTCAACTATGAGGGAAGCTTTCCCTCTTTGCATGTCAAACGGTCACATCTCATCTCAGTGAAGCTTGATGAGAAGAATTTCAAAAAGTATAAACAACAAATTGAAGGCGTAATCAAAGGACACAAGCTTCGACGCTTCGTCACGATGCCGCTTGTATCTCCACGCCTCCTCGCCGACGTCGATCCTGTTACCGGTGACGAAAATCTGGCGTTTCTCGATTGGGAACAACAGGATGCACTTATCTGCACCTGGCTTCTCAGCACGATCTCTGATTCTCTTCTTCCTAAACTGGTTGATTGCACCTATTCGTGGCAGGTGTGGACTGAAATTCACCGTCACTTCACTACTCTGCTAGCTACGAAGGCAAGACAACTTCGATCTGAGCTGCGCAACCTGACCAAAGGTTCGCGCAACATCACGAAATTTCTTCTTCGTGTTCTTGATATTAGAGAAGCTCTGGTTTCAATCGGTGATCCTGTTCCCTTTCGAAACCTAATTGAAATAGTGCTTGATGCACTTTCGGAGGACTACGATGCTATTGTAGCAGCGATCAACAACAAAGAAGATTTGTGTTCTTTGGATGAGCTTGAGTCGTGTCTTCTTGCTCATGAATCGTGCCTTGAGAAGAATCCTAAGTATGCCCTAACTGAGTCTGCTACACTGAATCTGGCTCAATCAACTTCATCACCAGCTCTGTCACAGTCCACCACTGATAGTGTGGAATCTGGTTCTGAGTTCCCTACTGGTACTATTCATGTTACTTCAAATGCTGATACTCATGGCTATGAAACTCGTGGTAGACGAAATTGGCGTGGTGGAGGTCGCTCCGGACGTGGTGGTAGATTTGGGAAATCTCCATGCCAAATTTGCCACAAATCTGGTTATGACGCGTCTGTATGCTACCACAGGTATACTTATCCTGGAACTCCCTCGTTCAACACTCCCAGAGCTGTATTCAATCCTTATTTCGTGGCACCTCGTGCTCCTACCTATAGTGTGTATGGCTATGCTCCTCCTCGTGCTACAACACACCCATGACAACCTGTTCCTCAAGCTTTTCTTGCAGGTTCTGATCCTAATTTCAGTAATCAGTGGTGGTACCCTGACTCTGGCGTATCTCATCATGTGACACCTGATGCTTCGATTTTGTCTGATGCTTCATCTCTGAGTGGTACTGAACAAGTGTACATGGGTAATGGCCAAGGTTTGTTAATTAACTCGGTTGGTTCTATGCCTTTTCCCTCACTAACACAGTCAAATTCCACTCTTATTCTAAATAAACTTCTTCTTGTACCTCATATCACTAAGAATCTCCTAAGTATCAATAAGTTTGCTCAAGATAATCGTGTTTTCTTTGAATTCCATCCTCAGTTTTGTTCTGTCAAATAGCTGGATTCTTTTGAGATTCTTCTTCATGGCACTGTGGGAGTTGATGGCCTCTACAGATTTGCTAATCCTACTCTTTGCAAGGCATACGAATTGATTTCTGAACGTGTCTTTCAAGGCATTTTGATTATTGATTTGGTGATCTATTAAATTCCTTTTATTTTCAATATTTCTTTATCAATTCTGAAAGCTTATCTTCCTTGATTTGGTGTTACTCATTGGTATTGCAGGATACACACAATTTCTTCTAGTTCTATTTTCCTCTTGTTTGATCATCATGGCTATTGATTTTTTGGTTTCTTGATTCTTAGGTTTGATTTTGTTTTTGTTAGTTTTGACCTTGGATATTGTTAGAGTTTTAAATGATTGTTCTTTTGGGTCAACTATTATTCTTTGTGTATATATGGGTGTTTTGCGTTTAATTTGTTGGCAGCAGCACTTATTGGCAACCCCCTGGAATTTTGGTTTGAATTTTCTGTTTTAAAAAAAATAGTTCTACTATAACTATTCTTATATGGTAAGTTATAATTAAGAATCTATTTGATGTTCAGCTAGTTGAAATATCCATCTTATATTAGATTTATATCCCATAAAAATTCATATCTTATCCTGCAAAGATACAATAAATTCAAATGATAATATTTGATATACAAATTTGAATGATACAATATTAATTCTAAATCCATATGTATCTTATCCAACGTTTTACACTGTCTTATTTAGAGAAATTGAGAATTTTCCGAATCATGCGACTTTTCTTTTATGGATCAGTTATCAAGAATTTTTTGATATAATTCTTCATTGGATAATCAAGATATTTGTTTATCTGTTTTGCAGCGATTTGGGATTCTTGATGTAATGGATAGCGGAGAATGCCTTTAGAGTAACCAAATTTCTTCAATTCTGTACTTAAATATTTTTTATTTCTCTGACATATGACTTTTTCGAATTGTTTGTTCCATCATGGCTGATCGTGTTTTCTTAATGGATTTCCGTTGTGTATTGATATGTTTCCTCAAATTGCTGAATGTGTTTTCTTGATGGATTTGCGTTGCGTTTTGATACATTTTCTCAGATTGTTGATCTTTAATGGGGACGTTTTCCCAGATTGCTGCTTGTGTTTTCATAATGGATTTGCGTTGTAGCTTCATACGTTATCTCATATGGCTGATCGTGTTTTAATAATGGATTTAAGTTACTATGAATCATTTGTTTAATTTATAGATATAATGTATGAAACATATACACATGAAACTGACTTGACACAGGTTTTCATTTGATAGTTTGGTAAGTAAAAGATATCTTCATATCTAAAAACTCAGGATACGACACACAAGAACAGAGAATAGCTCCAGATAGATACATCAGATTTCTTCAATGATTCTTTTTCTTTTCTTTTTCCTGGCTTATATTGGAAGACATGCAAATTGAGTTTTGAAATTTTTTTTCTGCAGCTTGGTTTGTCAAAATAATAACCTTCTTCGAAGCATGCAGCAACCTAGCCTTTTGATTCGGTGATCTTTTTTAAATTATTTTTGTTTTCAATCCTAAGAGCGAATCTTTCTTGAAGTCGACTTTTGATCTTGTACATGCTGTTGTTGAAGTTTGTGTTTCTTCCAGTGTTGAAGCTCTTGTGTGTTTCTATTATCAGGGACTTATATCCTATGTAGCACCGAATCCAGTGTTGAAGCTTTTGTACATGCTGTTGTTGAAGTTTGTGTTCCTTCCAGTGTTGAAGCTTTTGTTGCTGCTTGTGTTTTCATAATGGATTTGCGTTGTAACTTCATACGTTATCTCATATGGCTGATCGTGTTTTAATATGGATTTAAGTTACTATGAATCATTTGTTTAATTTATAGATATAATGTATGAAGCATATACACATGAAACTGACTTGACACAGGTTTTCATTTGATAGTTTGGTAAGTAAAAGATATCTTCATATATAAAACTCATGATACGACACACAAGAACAGAGAATAGCTCCAGATAGATACATCAGATTTCTTCAATGATTCTTTTTCTTTTCTTTTTCCTGGCTTATATTGGAAGACATGCAAATTGAGTTTTGAACATTTTTTTCTGCAGCTTGGTTTGTCAAAATAATAACCTTCTTCGAAGCATGCAGCAGCCTAGCCTTTTGATTCGGTGATCTTTTTTAAATTATTTTTGTTTTCAATCCTAAGAGCGAAACTTTCTTGAAGTCGACTTTTGATCTTGTACATGCTGTTGTTGAAGTTTGTGTTTCTTCCAGTGTTGAAGCTTTTGTGTGTTTCTATTATCAGGGACTTATATCCTATGTAGCATCGAATCCAGTGTTGAAGCTTTTGTACATGCTGTTGTTGAAGTTTGTGTTCCTTCGGGATCTATCTTCCTCAGTTTGTGAATTCATTCTTATTTTGTCATCTTCGATATATCAGTTCTCATTTGGCTTACCAGTAACTCTACTCTGAAACAACAACTGCTATACTGTTTTTTTTTGCTAAAGTAGTTCCACTTTAATTGAACTTGTGTTTCGTAAAACTTTGGACATTCGCATGTCATATGATTCCCCCTACATCAATGTATGATGAAGACTATCTTCGCAGAAATATTTGAGTTTTTGATGCAATGGATGAGCCTCCATCTGTGTTGGAAGTGGAAGTTTGTGATTTTGACGGACCCTTTGGCGAACCTCAATCTCTAGGACATGCGGAAATCAACTTCCTTAAAACAAACATATCAGATCTTGCTGATTTATGGGTGTCTCTTGAAGGAAAGTTAGCTCTAGCATGCCACACTAAAGTGCACTTAAGAATTTTCTTGGACAACACTAGAGGTGGGAATGTCGTAAAACACTATATAAGTAAAATGGAGAAAGAAGTGGGGAAGAAGGTATGGATCCGTTTGTGTTATCAGTTGTTTGGTAGTTTTTCTTCGTATATTATCGGTAGATCACTTTTCTTTGGCTTATTTTTCTTCATATATTTACAAAATTGTAGATTAGTTTGCGATCTCCTCAAACAAATTCAGCCTTTCAGAAACTCTTTGGACTTCCACCCGAGGAATTTCTCATCAATGATTTCACCTGTCATTTGAAAATAAAAATGCCCCTACAGGTTTAAGTATTACGTTCTGTGATTTCGAAAGTGGTCGAATTTTATTTTGGCACATGTTTCTTTATTAATATTATCTCATCAAGTTGCCTATGAATCTCGGCAGGGTCGTATATTTGTTTCAGCAAGAATAATGGGATTTCATGCAAATTTGTTTAGACACAAGACAAAATTCTTTTTGCCTTGGGAAGACATAGAAGACATACAGGTCGTTCCTCCTACATTTTCATCAATGGGCAGTCCTATAATTGTCTTAACTCTTCGTCCAGGGAGAGGCGTGGATGCAAAACACGGTGCAAAAACGCAAGATGAACAAGGCAGACTCAAGTTCCATTTCCAATCTTTTTGTGTCTTTCAATGTCGCCAATAGGTATATGTTATGTCAAACTTTAGAGTTTTAAACATAGAACACAACGTCGAATCTAAAAATATATTCTTCTGCTAATGTAGGACTATCATGGCACTCTGGAAGGCCAGATCTTTGAGTATTGAACAAAAGGTCCAATTAGTTGAAGACGATCCTGAAAACGAAAGTGTTACTAGCGAAGAGAGTGTAACATTAATTGGCAGCGGTGACGTTACTATGTCTGAAGTTCAATGTTGTTCTCTTCAAGTTCCTGTAATCTCTCTATCTTTCTCTCTCGTTCCATTTTCTATTTATCGTATACATCACCGAAATCTGCATTTGGTTATTATTTTAATTTTCTTTGATTAATCTAGGTCATTTGAAACTAACTATATTATCAGTGCATTCTTCCGAAAGTATTTCCTGCAACATAAATCTGAGAAAATGGGCAGTTGTCTTTCATTCTAAAGTTGAAATTCACTACAATCATTTTCTCTACATGTTTATTGATTTGAATCTTCTTTGTTGATTTCATTTAATTTGTTCGATTATGAGCATTAGTGTCTTCATAGCTTTATTCATTAGCTTTGATGAGTCCATCTTTGTTAATGCTCTAGATTAATATTTTGGAATTAGTTAGGCTTCTTGTGACGTATCTAAATGCACTTGGACTTTGGATTATTCCTACATCTCATGTTTATTTCAGTTTACATTCTCTTATGTTTTGGAATTAATTTTATTAATATTAATATTAATGAAATGACTACAAATTCTTTTTAGATTTGATTATGTTTTTAACGTTATCGTTAGTAATATCTCCGTTTAACTCGTTTGAGGAGTGCTTCCTATAACCACGCCATTTTGAAGAATAATTTTCTAACTTTGGTATTATACTATTTAATTTTAAATAGTATGGCAAGTGTGTAAAAAAATCTCCGATATTTTTGTTTTTAGAAAAAATATTTGTACCATAATTTAAGTTATTTTGTATTACTATTCTGTGTAGGTGAGTTGGACTGTAGGATCATGGAAAAATCTGGTTGTGCTAGTTATTCTTATACCCCTTGGGTATCCGAGGACAACAATGTCTATGAAAGGGCGGTATATTACAAATTTGAAAAACGTATTTCACGTTATAAAGTCGAAGTAACAAGTACTCAACAAAAATCTCTTTTGGACGGAAATGGTTGGCTTTTGGAAGCGCAAAAGTTTACATAATATTTGAGACATTTGGAAAAATTGGTGGACCTCTCTGTTATGCTGATCTGCAACTTGGTTTGGAGATTTATGCTATATTCTTTCTTTCTTCTTGGTTCTTTTTCTACAACCTATCTGTAAGTTTAATTTTTCTGTACATTTATTGTCTGTTGCTGACAGTAAGTTTGCTGTACGACAAAAGTTTTCTTAATTCTGAATCATATTCCCACCATTTTAGTTGGTCTATAGAGGAAAAATTGGAGATAAGTGTATCTGCTTCTTTGTATAAATTATCTCCTGTGAAAGAGTAATTAAGGATACATAACGTTTTCTGATCACTGGGGTCTGTTGTTATTTCTAATTTATGATGTAGGCCCAATAGCTCCTTTGGTATTATGTGGAAGCTCTAACTGTCATGTTTCAAATTGGGTACAATACAAGTACTAGCAAAAATTGGCTGGAAGTTTGTGTCCGGAAAATCTCTAGCGTTTCCTGATGGACTTCTTATCAATGGTCAAGCTCATACAACCATAAACGGTGATCAAGGTAAGTCTTTCTCAAAGTTCAAGGAAAACCATTCAATTTCGTCATCGAATTTGTTTTTTCAAAGTTTCTTTATTTCAGGGAAGACTTACATGATTAGGATCTCAAATGTGGGAATGTCAACATCAATTAACTTCAGAATTCAAGGACATGCCCTCAAACTAGTCGAGGTGGAAGGATCACATGTTATTCAGAACATGTATGACTCACTTGATGTTCATGTTGGTCAATCCGCTGCGGTTTTGGTTACCTTAAATCAATCTCCAAAGGACTATTACATTGTCGCCTCAACAAGATTTTCCAGAAGGATTCTCACAGCAACTGCTGTGTTGCATTATACAAACTCTCACTCTCCGGCTTCTGGTCCTTTGCCTACTCCTCCGGCTTACCAATATCATTGGTCTTTGATCCAAGCAAGAAGCTTCAGGTCATTAAAATAGTCTTGTGTTTGTTTTTAACCTGTCTAAAGTATGATTAATTTTCCATTTTTTAATATCTATACTTTTGATTTCAGATGGAATCTAACAGCAAATGCAGCAAGGCCTAATCCACAGGGATCATACCATTATGGAAAAATAACTCCTACAATGACAATAATATTGGCAAATTCAGCTCCTTTCATTAACGGAAAACAACGTTACGCTGTTAACAAAGTTTCCTATGTTAATCCTGATACACCTCTCAAACTTGCTGATTACTTCAACATTCCTGGAATTTTCAGTGTGAACTCAATCCAAAGCCTTCCTTCTAATGCTCCTGCATCTGTAGCTACCTCAGTACTTCCAACTTCTCTTCATGATTTTATTGAGTTAGTTTTTCAGAACAATGAAAATAGCATGCAATCTTGGCATCTTGATGGTTATGATTTTTGGGTTGTTGGGTATGTAATCTTTCTTTATTTGCATTTTGGTTCAATTTTCTTTACGTGTTATACAAGTTATCATCATTGCTTAACATTAGTTTAAGAAAGAGTTGATGATGTTTAGTGTAATGATTACAGTTATGGGTTCGGACAATGGATTCCAGCCAAAAGAAGAAACTATAATCTAGTTGATGCTTTGACTAGGCACACTGTGCAGGTAATTTTTTTTATCCGAAATCCAACATCATGTCTTCAGAGGTTGTGTTGCATTCTTTAATTTGGTCATTTCTACTAAGAAACACAATTAACATTTCAGCGTGTTTGATAATCGGCAATTTTGAATTCATTTGAATTTTACGTGAGTCTTATAGGGGAGACAGAGACAACCTATGAAAGTGCTGCGGCCTGTGGCCAGAGGCAACAAAGGTTAACATACTATTCTTGTAACATTGGGATACAATCCTTCTTTTTTATGATATTTGTATTTTGTTTGATTCTGTGCTATGAGAGTGTTGGAGTTTTTGTATTTTTGTAGCAGAAGCATAATATTGAAGCATACAAGATTCTAGACTAGAGTACATCTTTCTGCCCGAGCCAATGAATACTTGACAACTTGGTAGGGCTCACTTTTTTTCTGATTGTTACCACTCTCCCAAATGGATATTTGTCGAAGTGGGGAAGTCTAAATTTTTTCTGTTTCACATGGAGCACCAATCTGCAATTGGTTGTGGCATATATTATCAGTTATTATGTTTTTATCTGGTGATCTATACTCTGAATATGAACTCTTCTCTTTTCTATATCTTGGGATTCTAGTTTTCTTGATTCCTTAAATTCCATGTGGGTGTCACAGGGAGTATATGAACTGCGAAAGCGAGATTATCAAGGACATTCTTTGAGCCTTAGGATAAAACAGGCCATTTTATGGATTTAATTTACTTGTTATGGGTTGCAATATTTTGTGTTTTGATGGTGTGATGTGGCAATGTTGATTTCTGTGTTTGTAGGAGAATTTTGACCACGTGATTTCTTTGGGATCTATCTTCCATTGTTTGTTCGTTCATGTTATTGATTTTCTGAATACAATATGAAGTCATTTTCCTTGCGGGTTTCAATTTTGGAATTTGTTCTTATTTTATCACCTTCAGTATATCAGTTTTCATTAGGCTTGCCAATAACTCTACCCTGAAACAGAAGCTGGTATGCTGTTTTCTTGGCTAAAGTAGTCCCAATTTGGACATTTTCATGTCATAAGATTCAAAATTCAATTTGTGAAAATCTCTAAAAGCTATCATGTGCATGCAGTGTAGTTTCAAAACATGAGCAACCCTAAGTCTTAAGTCTTCTCAGGATCTGGTGAGGATTTGTTCATCTAGGTTTGTTGGAATTATTAGGATTTGTGGATGTCTATGTATTAAATCAAAATATTATCTTTGATTGCTTAATTAGCATGAGGGAAAAGATTTCTCAATCTCAAATGATCAGACTTCTTGTAGTCAGCGGCAAGTCCAAAAATATTGAAAACTGGTCCCGTAGGAGTTATTGGACATGTGAGTTTGTGACACTTAATTTCTTTCTAAATTCATCATTGAAATATTTCGTATTTCGTTATCAGGATTTTCATCAGGCTTATTGTGTTGAAGCAATTAATTTCTTTGTAGCATCAAGCCTTGGTTTGTTAATGTGGTGACAATGACAATTCATGTAGGCTACCTGTATATATTTGTTCCACAAAAGTCCCCCTTGATTTCACGCACACATTGGTGTGAACAGAATTGTGGAGTATATCTCTTCTCGCTTACTCCATCTAGTGTTTTTCTTGTACTCTTTTACTGTTTGTTTCTGTTATTTATGATGTATAGGAATAGGAATTCGTTTCCTCTAAGGATTTCACTGGGCATCAAAATTCATTATTGGAACCATCAGCTTCTACGGACTGTAAGATATTTTCTAAGGAATTCGAGTCATGTACATTTCAGTCACTGTTTCTAAGAATGTGCAATTTTTATCATCGGTGTTATAGATCCTATTTGTGGGCCGTTAAAGTTGCTGCAAGGCATTTTTTCTACTGGTGCACTTTTTCAGTCATCTTTTGATTGTCTGACATGGTAGGATTAAGTAAGCAAGACTTTTTAGAAAACTCATTTTATTTCGTAAGATGAACAGCATAGTTGAGGCTTTTGTTTTCGATGAATATCTTTTTTGGCACATTTGGCAAAGTATCTCCATCTGGTGTTTCGTAAATTGTGGCTAATTTTGAAATCCAAAATCTGCAATTTGATGGCAATTGTTCCAAAGCATAAAAATATTTGGTTGTCATATATTTTCCGCCTATTTCTATATTTAAATGTAAAGATCTCTATTTATATATAAATACCTTATTTCTTAATCTGTTATTGTTTAAACTACTATGCAATTTTAGTGCATTTGTTATTTCAAGTTCTTCTTTAAGCATTCAGTTTTTATTGTTTATGTGATTTCTTGCATGGTAAGTAATTATATTTCAAATGGTTCTACTATTACTATTCTTATATGGTAAGTTATAATTAAAAATCTATTTGATGTTCAGCTAGTTGTAATAACCAGAACCTTTCCTGGTTTTCAATTCCTAAAATAATATCCAAGAACGGAATCATATTAATACATTTCTAAAATGAATCCTTATATGGTAACTAATTTTGATTGAAAGACATATGTGGTGAATTATGAATCTATTTTCCTGCAGTGTAAACATACTATTTTTATCTTCATCTTTTGAGGTTGATTTTTTTAGTTTTTTGAATGAAGTTTGATTTGGAATTTGTTGGTTTTAACTTTGGAGTATGCTAATGATTTGGTGATGTTATTCAATTCTTTTAGGTTTTTATTTTAAGACTTACAAGAACACGACCCCCTTCCATCTCAACCGTTGATCTACAACTATAAGTCGTCTACATTTCACACTGAACAAATCAAAGATAGTTATATCCATCTCCATTATATAAGAATGACTTCATGTCAAAGCCAGGTATTCTTTTATTCTTATTTTTTAAGTTTCATCTTATTCATCTACTAACTTGAGCGTTGGAGTGCTAATTATTTTTTTGCAGGTACCTCTTCTGTTCACCACATTGAATATCTTATCGCAACATCAACTTGAACCTTACCTAGTTTCAATAAGGAATAGTTATGGTAGAATGTTCTTCCAAATATAATTTATCTTAATATGATATGATCATGTTCATACAAGTCTTTTGCGTAGTACTAAGCTCCAGGTTAAGTTTGGTATAATCTTAAATTGTGAATTTTATTTCATTTCATCTTTGTTGTCCTCATCTATAGTCTTGATATTTTTCACTCCTTTTTGACAGTTTGGCGGTGGTTGTTATGATACTTCACTTGGGTTGAGCTAGTTATTCTCTAAGCTGTCACAAGTTTATGGAGACTGTAAGTTAATTATGGTTCAACTGTGATATACTAATTAAGGATCTTATTTATTTATTTATGATATAATCATGATAGATATTTATTTAACTACAATTTAAATATGAAAAATTTGAATCTACATGTATTAAAGTCCATCTTTCATACCTTCAAAGAAGACTAAATTTTATTATTCTTATGAACCAAATAAGAATTTTTTGAGATAGAAATCCTGTTTATCCCAATTTACATTAGATCTGATACACAACAAACCTAATTCTTTGGTTTTCTAGTTAGTTTCAAATCTGCTGGGTACTCTAGATTCTTGAAGATTATGTTTGGGTTTATTCTTGTGATATTTGTTGGTCATATCAGGGTAGATAGTATTAGAGATAACTATAGGTTACTCTTGTTTTTCTGTATTAGTTAGATTGCTGAGCTGACAAGTCTGTTAAATCTAACTTGTTGAGCTGTCATAGATCATAGATCTCAGCCTATAAATAGTTCTGTTGCAAATGTTTTTAGATCAAAAAATAGAAACTCAATTCTGTTACAATTTCTTTGCTTTCTATTATCTTAACATGGTATGTAGAGCTCTTTTTTCTATCTAGCGCTTCCATGGAATCTCCTTTCAACTATAAGGGAAGCTTTCCCTCTTCGCATGTCAAACTGTCACATCTCACCACGGTGAAGCTTGATGAGAAGAATTTCAAACAGTATAAACAGCAAATTGAATGCGTAATCAAAGGACACAAGCTTCAGCGCTTCGTCACGACGCCGCTTTTATCTCCATGCCTACTCGCCGGCGCCGATCCTGTTACCGGTGGCAAAAATTCAGCGTTTCTCGATTCGGAACAACAGGATGCACTTATCTGCACCTGGCTTCTCAGCACGATCTCCGATTCTCTTCTTCCTAAATTGGTTGATTGCCCCTATTCGTGGCAGAGGTGTGGACTGAAATTCACCGGCACATCACTACTCTGCTAGCTACGAAGGCAAGACAACTTCGATCTGAGCTGCGCAACCTGACCAAAGGTTCGCGCAACATCACGAAATTTCTTCTTCGTGCTCGTGATATTAGAGAAGCTCTGGTTTCAATCGGTGATCCTGTTCCCTTTCGAAACCTAATTGAAATAGTGCTTGATGCACTTTCGGAGGAATACGATGCTATTATAGCAGCGATCAACAACAAAGAAGATTTGTATTCTTTGGATGAGCTTGAGTCGAGTCTTCTTGCTCATGAATCGTGCCTTGAGAAGAATCTTAAGTCTGCCCTAACTGAGTCTGCTACACTGAATCTGGCTCAATCACCTTCATCACCAGCTCTGTCATAGTCCACCACTGATAGTGTGAAATCTGGTTCTGAGTTCCCTACTGATACTATGTTACTGTAAACGCTGATACTCATGGCTATGAAACTCGTGGTAGAAGAAATTAGCGTGGTGGAGGTCGCTCCGGACGTGGTGGTAGATTTGGGAAAGCTCCATGGCAAATTTGCCACAAATCTGGTCATGACGCGTCTGTATGCTACCACATGTATACTTATCCTGGAACTCCCTCGTTCAACGCTCCCAGAGCTCCATTCAGTCCTTATGTCGTGGCACCTCGTGCTCCTCCTACCTATAGTGTGTATGACTGTGCTCCTCCTCGTGCTACAACACCACCATGACAACCTGTTCCTCAAGCTTTTCTTGCAGGCTCTGATCCTAATTTTAGTAATCAGTGGTGATACCCTGACTCTGGCGTATCTCATCATGTGACACCTGATGCTTCAAATTTGTCTGATGCTTCATCTATGAATGGTACTAAACAAGTGTACATGGGTAATGACCAAGGTTTGTTAATTAATTCGGTAGGTTCTAAGCCTTTACCCTCACCAACACGGTCAAATTCCACTCTTATTCTAAATAATCTTCTTCTTGTACCTCATATCACTAAGAATCTCCTAAGTATCAATAAGTTTGCTCAAGATAATCGTGTTTTCTTTGAATTCCATCCTCAGTTTTGTTCTGTCAAATAGCTGGATTCTTTTGAGATTCTTCTTCATGGCACTGTGAGAGTTGATGGCCTCTACAGATTTGCTAATCCTACTCTTTCCAAGCTGCAAACTAATAGGAATAGCAATTGTAATAAGCCTAGTTCTT